CTGAGATTGCACGGCCATCTCTGCTGGAGAGCTCTGCATCGTTGCCAGTGCTGCTGAGCTCGCCATGATGTCCAAACAGGAAATGAGATTCAAACTGCCCAGACAGGAAAAGGAATTCAAATTTTCCCGGGGCTTTTCCTGTATGGCTGGTCAGAGCATGCGAGCTCGGACTGCTGTCCAGAGCGTCAACAGAGTGGTGCACTGTGGGATAGCTCCCGGAGCTATTAGCGTCGATTTCCATCCACACTTAGCCTAATTCGATATGGTCATGTCGAATTTAGCGCTACTCCCCTCGTTGGGGAGGAGTACAGAAGTCGAATTTAAGAGACCTCTATGTCAAACTAAATAGCATCGTGGTGTGGACGGGTGCAGGGTTTATTCGATGTAACGGCGCTAAATTCGACATAAACGCCTAGTGTAGACCAGGCCTTAGAGACTAACAAAATTATTTGGTCTTAAGCTTTTGTGGTCTAGAACCCACTTTATCAGATGCATGAAGTGAAAAATACAGGAGCAGGTATAAATACATGAAAGGATGGGGGTTGCTTTTCCAAGTGTGAGGTCAGTCTAATGAGATTAAATCAATAAACAGCAGGCTACCAAGGGAGGAAAAAACAACTTTTTAAGTGGTAAGAGAGTGGCCCATTACAGACAGTTGACAAGAATGTCTGAGTAACAGTAGGGATAAATTAGTATTGGGGAAATTAAGTTTAGGTTTTGTAATGACCCAATCACTCCCAGTCTTTATTCAGGCCTAGTCTGATTGTATCCAGTTTGCAAATTAATTCTAGTTCTTCAGCTTCACGTTGGAGTCTGTTTTTGAAGTTTTTTTGTTGAAGAATTGCCACTTTGAAGTCTGTTATTGAGTGACCAGAGAGATTGAAGTGTTCTCCTACTGGTTTTTTAATGTTATGATTCCTGATGTCAGATTTATGTCCATTTGTGTAGAGACTGTCCTGTTTGGCCAATGTACATGGCAGAGGGGCATTGCTGGCACATGAGGGCATATATCACATTGGTAGGTGAACGAGCCCCAGATGGTGTGGCTGATGTGGTGAGGTCCTATGATGGTGTCCCTTGAATAGACATGTGGACAGAGTTGGTACTGGGGTTTGTAGCAGGGTTTGGTTCCTGGGTTGGTGTTTTTGTTGTATGGTGTGGTGTTGCTGGTGAGTATTTGTTTCAGGCTGGGGGGCTGTCTGTAGGCGAGGACTGACCTGTCTCCCAAGGTCTGTGAGAGTGAGGGATCGTCCTTCAGGAGAGGTTTTAGTTGGGGGCTGTAGGTGACGGCTAGTGGCGTTCTGTTACTTTCTTTGTTGGGCCTGTCTTATAGTAGCTGACTTCTCGGTACCCTTCTGGCTCTGTCAATCTGTTTCTTCACTTCACCAGGTGGGTATTGCAGTTTTAAGAACACTTGATAGAGATTCTGTAAGTATTTGTCTCTGCCTGAGGGATTGGAGCAAATGCGGTTGTATGTTAGAGCTTGGCTGTAGACAATGGATCATGTGATGTGGTCTGGATGAAAGCTGGAGGCAAGTAGGTTACCTGAAGCAAATAGACCTAAAAGTGGCACTTGGTAAAGCAACCCCCATCCTTTCATGTATTTATACCTGCTCCTGTATTTTTCACTTCATGCATCTGATGAAGTGGGTTGTAGCCCATGAAAGCTTAAAGCCCAAATAAATTTGTTAGTCTCCAAGGTGCCACAAGGACTCCTCGTTGTTTTTGCTGATACAGACTAACATGGCTACCACTCTGAAACCTTACTTGTGGTGCTGTATCTGAGGAGCACCCTGTGCAAAACTCTCTAAAATTTCACTACAAAATCTACCTCATGCCTTTTACAATTCATTACTTCTAAAAGCATTTTTGTATGCACGTGCATTTCAGAATCCTTTGAAAATAATAATCAGCTCATTTGGGGGAAGAAGTATTTTAAGAACCCCTTGAACAAATATCCCTGAATTTGTATCACAAATACTACATAAATCTCTGTTTTACATCTGGGCACATCTCTTCATTACTCAGCTACCTGGTCCCACCTTATCTTAGTTCATCCAAGCCCATGGTAAGCTTGGAGGTACCACAAGAAGAAGGGAAGGCAGTGGGTCTGTGAAGAGACTATGAGACAATTGGAGGCAGGAGAGTAGATATGCAGAGTCCCTTCATCTCTAACTAACATTATTACACTGGTAAAAGTTTCTAGTGTAGACCTGGCCAGTGTCTAGAAACATCTCTCTTCTTCTGTGTTCTAGAGTCTATTGGATTTTGCTTTCTCTTTGATTGGTCCTTACATGGGTTGTAGCCCACGAAAGCTTATGCTCTAATAAATTTGTTAGTCTCTAAGGTGCCACAAGTACTTGGGAGCTGCCACCCGATGTGCCAAGACTACCCCTGCTTCTGTTTTCCCTGCCAGCTCAGGACTCCAGCACCCCGTCTTGCTGAATTAGACACTCCAGTCCACTTCAACACAGACCCAGGGTCTGAATTACTTGTCTCAAAGCTGCGAGTTTACCCAAAAACAGCTCACAGGAGTGTGCTTGTCTTTAGCACTCAGATGCCCAACTCCCAATGGGGTCT